CAGCGGTGGCGACGATGGCCTCCGAGGAGGCCCACAAGGGGGAAAACGAGGGAAGGGCAGCGGTATGGGCACCTTTTCCTCCTCTGAGTGCCTGGGCGGAGCGAGCTATCAGGCCCCCGTCGGCGATACATGGGCGATTTTGTGCCGAGGCGCCCCCTCCAGAGCCCATCTCTCCCCATCGCTGCCCCCGGGGAGCCAGTCTGCCCCTGCTGGCGACCCTCGGGGGGGGGGCGGCGGTGCCCCAGCGCCTTGCTGCAAAGCCTGATGTGCTGGCGGGGCCCCGAACTGCAAGCACACCAATCTGTGTGCGGGCAGGGCTTGGCAGGGTCGGGCGGGGGTGGAGGACGATAGGGTAGAGCCAACCAGTGCAGTAAGGACGCACGAGAAGGATGCAAGGGCCTTGGAAAGCCATTTCGAAGCTTTTCGAGCGGGGCGCGGCCAGTGAAAGTGGCCAAGCATGGACCGAAGTGGCAAGGATGCAAGGGTAACCATGGAGGAAAAGTTGCTCATCCTTACTGTGCGGGTTGACTGTAGAGTGGAGCGTGGCAAAGCACGAACGAGCCCGGGCATCCAGCGCCTCGAAAAAATTGGAGCGGCAGGTGTTTCGCAATGTTTGACATGTCGAGGCTGGTATTCGGCCTCAGGGTCGTGACAGCAAAAACTACAGGGGCTGAGAAACCATTCCTGGGGAAGGGCTGGGTCGAGAGGAAATCATTGGGAATGTGGACGACGCTCAATGGGAAAAAAGGTTGAATCGAGACTCAAGGCCTAAGCCAAAATTCCTGGTGGGACTACCCATGCCCCACTCGGCCTCCCCGAGCACCGTGGAGGACAGATGCCAGAGGTGCACATGTGCGGCAACGCAACTGGACAGTGCACGACGCTTGCAAGTCAGAGCAATAACGCTAAGTTTGGTAGCGTAGCGCAGCAATTACCTTAAGCCACATTGGATAAACAGATAGTAAGGACTGTGGTCTGGGCGGCATCCCACGGCATGTCACAAGACACCACGGCATAATAAGTCGAGACGTGAGAACATGTATCTGGTAAGGTACAGCAGTGCGAGCGACGACGTCGGTAATTAAGGTATTGTGCACCAGTCTCAGGTATAAGGCGAACCAAAAAAAACAATCACATATATAATATGCTACAACCACTGCAATGTGGTACAATCTGGTGTAGCAACAGCCACAATTCTATGAACGGTGGTGGGCCGGGTAATGCAACATATCATTTCACAGTAGGGTAGATATCGAAGCAACAATCATAATTACAGGACCGAGGTTTACCCGCGCACATCAAGCATTGTGTTCACAACGATTGGCCTTCGGCCTTCGGGAGCAGCACCGAACGTATTTTTAGACGGAGGGGCCCTTCGAGGCCTCACCTCCAACCCCCCTACCCTCCTCCTCCCCCGCCCTATCCCCCCCCGTGGCGGACATTCGCGAGAAAACGCAGCTGGATCAGGCTGACACAGTGGAAGGCAGCTGAAACCAGTGTGACCACGTAAGCCGCACGTCCAAAACATACATACATAGAAGATCCTGAGGAGCTCCTCCCCCTCCGTCACGGCAAAGGGCGACATTTTAATGCCGAGGGTGGAAATGAGCCATACGTGCAACTGCACGGTGAAACACGCAACCAACGACGTAACCCAATGACGAACGGCAAATACTGGCAAGGAACTTCGACCTGGTAGTGCGGGGGTACCCCAGAGCCCATGCCTGGGTAAACCCCCGGTTTGCACATTTGACCGCCTGCATACGGGGAGCAACGGTGCAGGCGGTGAGCCAAGATGATGGGAGCCCCAGGAGGCACGGGCAGGAGCTAGCGGACGAGTGCCGATGGAGAAGCTGCCCCCTCATCGGGGACGTCTGTCCCAGGGCTGCTGGAGGGCCTTGCACCCCGACGGCGGCACGTCGGGGCGAAACGTCAGGACGAGCTGCCCGCTCTGGAGCAGGCGCCCCCGACGGCGGGCAGGCCTGCCCCGCGCCGCTCCTCGCCCGTCCGCAGCGTCGAGGAAAATCGTATGGGGCCAGGGGACTGCGGCTCCGCTTGCCGCGGCGGGGGCCCCGGCCACACGCGTCACGTGCCTTGCGAGCTGGCAAGCGTGCCGCTGCGCTCCGCGGGGCGGGGCGCCAGGAAAGACCCGGAACATCTGGCGCCGGGATCACCATCATCATCATCATCATCATCATCATCATCATCATCATCATCATCATCATCATCATCATCGTCGTCGTCGTCGTCGTCGTCGTCGTCGTCGTCGTCGTCGTCGTCGTCGTCGTCGTCGTCGTCGTCGTCGTCGTCGTCGTCGGCGTCGGCGTCGTCGTCGTCGTCGTCGTCGTCAGGACAGACCCGGGAAATCTGACGCCTGGAAAGCGGAGACGTGGCTAACGTAGAGGCCTCCCAAGTGGGGTCCGAGTAGATGGGGTCGCAGCATCGCGACGCGTCGGCAGCGCGATCCTCCGACGTCGCCGATACATCGCCAATGCATCGCCGATGTCTCGCCGATGCATCCATGACGTCGACATGAAGCAAATCGGGCTCCACATCGAGCCGCATCAGCGACGCATCGGCGATGCGGCGCGACCCTCCGGCCCCATCTACTACGACCCCACCTGGGAGGCCTAGACACGGCATGACGCGCCGGAGCGCGATGGGCCAGAACTGGCGGCGCGACACGCGCACCAAACGCCCCCGGCCGCTCAAGAACAAAGGCATCGTATATGGAGTTCCGGAGCCCAGAGGCTGCCTCAACATTTTTGGAGTTGGCACAGGATGAATATTTCAAGAGCCAGCCGAATATTCTCAAAGTCAAAGCAGCGAAGACGCAGATTCATTTGCAGAGAGGCTGGTGTTTCAGAAAAGCGTTGCGCGGGGCCTTCTGTGCTCGAGTTGCTCGATCGTCAAAGTTTTGAACCTTGCTTCTGTGCTCCCCAGAGGAGCCGGTCGCCAGCGAAGACCGGGCGGCCGCCCCCGGCGTTCCAGCGGGACACCATGCCCCCGTCCACGACCTCCAGCACCTCGCGGGAGGCCCTCCAACGTCTCCAACAGAGTCAACGGTTTCCGATTCGGTGTTTCGACATGGGGGCGGAAGGGGAGGGGGGAGGGGGGGGGTCTGGCTCCGCACTTCTGCTTAATGCGACTGTTTGCAACAGGGCGTCCTATGGGGGAACCTCTATCTGCTTGAAAAACAGGCGCCAAAAAGAGCCAAGGCCTACTCCACGGAGGGGGGGAGGGGGGGAGTGTGCGAGGGCCCGCGCCGATCGGCAAGACAAGGAATGAGAGAACGATCACAAATCGAGACTGTGTTCTGTGGCCTGCTGTGTGTTTCTGCCTGCCAGCAGGAGCGCCAGACAATCGGGGGCGTCCAAGAGGGGGGCGTCCAAGAGGGGGGGGGGGTCGCAAATCGTGGCCGGCAGCATTAGCGCGGCCCACTGGGCGGTGGGCCAGGGACGCATTGAAATAAGAAGAGGCGCCATGAAATCTGGGGAAATATCGTGGCCCAAGCCATGGTACAGGCCTCGGAAAAAATGGCGAACACTCATGCCCCATTCATCTGTCAACGCCTCCCCCTCCCCCCGATGTTCCAAGTTGGCGGTGGGTCTGAGGAGCTGCACCTCGCCCGCAGCCTCCCCCGCGCGTGCCAGCTTTGAGTTTGGGGCGAGGTGGAGTGTTCAGTAATTGCTTCCCTCCACCGCATCCCCCCCCTAGTTTTCAGTCGGGCCTGTCCCTCTACAGGAGGAGTAATCAAACATAGTCAAAAAATAATATACTATTTTTGAACATTTTTGGCATATTTCTGGGTACTGTCCAATTTTCGTCCAAAATCCCCCTGTAGGGGGACAGGCCCGAACTGACCCTAGTTGTCACCCCCCTCTTGGCCGCCCCCGAAAGACAGGGAGCGCGGGGGGGGAGGGCTCTCCTGGCGCCGGGGCGAGCCTCGGCCACCAGGGCGCTCGTTTCCCGGCCCAGACCCCCCAAGGGAACGGCCCGAGCACCGGGGCCCCCCCCCCCATGAGAGTGCGCGGTATAGCCCTTACGGTGGGGGCATTGGATGAGGAACCCTCAGATAAGGAACCCAGGGTCTGGAAGCCAGTGGAACTCCAATCGTGGACCAGCCATGGAGATCACCGCCGCCCTCATTGGAGAAGGAATCCTCCAGGGTCTGGCGCCTCCTGGGCACATTCGTTACCAAACGCCTCCACCGTAATCCTTATCTCAGCGTCCTGACTGCACATCTTGAAAAAGGCCCAGAGGCACGTAGATAGGTACACAGAACGCCCATGATGCCCTATAGTTTCAGGTGTTCTCGGGGCTTTCGTCTTAGCCCCCCTGCTAATCCGAGGTATAGCGGAGGCCAGTCCACGAAAAACCTTCCACAGGAAACCCGACCCTAAGCCCACAGGACGTCCATGGATTTCTGGTGTGGGAGCGTCATGCTGTCCATCGCAAGACCATCGAAACCCAAGAAACCCAGGGCACCCTGGAGGCAAGCAGGGGGTTTCTTGGCATGGGTCTCCACTGAAATCCTTCATTCAGCGTCTTGACTGTACATGTTGAGAGGGGCCCAGAGACACAGAAATACACAGAAATCTCAGGATTCCACTTATTTTCGGGTATTTTCTGGGTTTTCGTCTTACCCCCCCACTTCCCACAGGTTCCCACATTTTCACGGATACCGACGTTTGCGTCTGTCTGTATGTGTTTTCCCCGCCTGGTATTTAAACAGAACAATGATCGTGTTGGGAGGAAAGGGTTGGGGGGATGAAGGGCGTGAGCAACAGCATCTGAATGCAATTAACTATACCTTCGGCCGCCTACGGGTAATGATATCCCCATTTCTCCCAACCCCATCCTCCCAACCCCGTAATAATGGTCTGCATGAACATGAATATGAAGTTCCGAGGCCGTCCAGAAACGATCCGGTGCGAAGAGGCCTGGTCCCTGGGAAGATGCCGAGAGCTCTGGGGGTTCCGTACTGCCCACATGAACACATAGGAGGTCTGGGCACCGACCCCGGTAATACTTTTTCGCGTGGGAGGTCTGAGCGCCGACCCCGGTCAGACCTCCTCGCGTCATGAAACAAAACGTCGACACAGGGTTTTCTGCCATTCTTGACCTCCCAAGGCCATCCACGGTCCCTGGGACCGTCAGAGCGACTCGGGATCAAGAGCCAGCTTTAGGTCGGGCATGTCCCCCTACAGGCGGATCTGGGACGAGAAATAATAGTCAAACAATCTTCAAACATTGCCAACAACACCGGATTCATCGCCCTCAGACTATTGTTTGACTACTTTTGAAGACTCCCCCTGTAGAGGGACAGGCCCGACTCAAGACCAGTCCTTTTGGGAAGGGGTCCGGACCTCTGGGGTAGGGAGCCCACAAAGAACGTACGCGCCCAGCTATGTACATGAACACGGCCCCTTGATCCGCGAGCCTGGCCACGTGATACGGACATTTGCGCAACGCGTACTCCCGAAACCAGCGTAGATTCATGTACGTGTACGTCCTTCTTTTTCTCCCGACCTGGGGGTCCCTGGGGAACCACGTTGCGAAAAAAAGAACACGATGTCGAAGGTCTGGTCCGGTTCCGTGTTGGTGCCTACGGCCCCAGCTCGAGTCCGGGAAAAGACTGCCGTACGCACCCCTCCTGGGCGCGGGGTGGGCCTTGCCTCAGGTCGGGCATGTCCTCCTACAGGCGGATTGTTGACGACAAATGAAATCAGTTGAAGGTGCTCAAACAGAATCAAGATTAGTCCCAAGATCCTCCCCAGACTATTTTTGACAATTTTTGAAAAATTCCTCCTGTAGAGGGACAGGCCTGGCTTAAGCATTGCCGAATGTTGCGCAGGTGCTGTTGCTGGCGCCTCCCGACCTCGATCTCGGCGGCGTCGCCAGGTCGGTTCCGGATGTGCAGGCCCAGTCGGTCCTCTGGCCCAGAACGCTCGATGTTCACGTCGAGCGCGTCGGTGCGCACCACGCCCTGGGGCCGGAACCGAGCCATCACCACAGTGGGGTCCCTCGCGGAGAGGCCCGACCGCACGTCGGTGGAGCTGTTCACGGAGACGATGCGATCCCCGACCTCGATGCGCTGGGTGCAGCAGCTGCCCAGCTCCCGCTGCCGAGCGTTCCACGCCTCCAGCGGCGGGCGCAGCGCCGTGACCTCCACGGCGATGGCGTCGGAGGCGTCGCCCCCCGTGCTGCGGGACGGGGGCCCAAAGTCGATCGCCTCCTGCAGGCTGAGCCCCTTGAGCACCACCGTGCCACGGATGCACTGGACCGGCTGGGCGAAGCGCTTGGCCGCGATGCCCAGCGAGATGTCACCTGTGCCCTTCAGCGTGTTGACCATGGCTTGGCGGCTGGTGGCCATGAGCGTCTTGCCGGCAGCGTCCCTGCCCGATACCCACACGATACGATCTCCCGTCTGCACACGCCGCTCCAGGTCGGGCTGGCATGAGTTCCACCTGCCCATGAGCCCCGCCTCGTCCACATCGCTGACGTTGAGCCCCGCCCCTCCAGACGATGGGAAGCTTATGCCGAGCTTCTCGCCTTCTGCCTTGTGCAGCGCCACTGCCACCACGGGGGCTACCTGAAGCGCCTCAGGAGAAGGGAGAGGAAAAAAGACGACGACGATGACGATGACGATGATCATGATGATGCTGCTGATGATGATGACGATGATGCAGATGAGAATGGGTATGCATATGATGAAGATGATGCTGATGATGTTGATGATGATGGCGATGAATATGATGGCGATGATGATTGTGATGATGGTGATGATGATGTTGGTGGTGCTGATGGGATTATGATGATGAGACGATGGTGATGATGGTGATGATGATGACATGGATGACGAGGATGATGATGAGGATGAGGAAGATGACGGTGATGATGATGCAGAGGATGATGACGATGATGATGATGGTGATGTTGATGATGATGATGTTGATGATGATGAGGAGGAGGAGGATAAGGACGTGGACGAGGGGAGCAACGTTGACGACGACGACAACAATCTTGATGATGACGGCGATGACGACTTTGACAATGACTGTGACGACGACGACGACCTGCTCCTCAGTCGGTCGCCCACCGCCACCGCAACAGCAGGCCCTGCAGAGGAAGAAGAGCCCCAGGACCACGAGCATGACGCCGCCGGCGAGCATGGTCTGGTCCTCTTGGTCCCACCTCGGAGGGTAGATGGGTGAGCTACAGCTAAAGCTAAAGCTAAGCTACAGCTAAAGCTAAAGCTTAGCTAAGCTACCGCTAAAGCTAAAGCTAAAGCTAAGCTAAAGCTGAGCTAAACATAAGCTAAAACTAAGCTAAAGCTAAGCTAAATATAAGATAAAGCTAAGCTAAAGCTAAGCTAAAGCTAAGCTAAAGCTAAGCTAAAACTAAGCTAAATCTAAGCTACAGCTCAGCTAAAGCTAAGCTAAAGCTAAACTGCTAAAGCTAAGCTAAAGCTAAGCTGAAGCTAAGCTAAAGCTAACATAAAGCTAAAGCTAAAGCTAAGCTAAAGCTGAGCTAACACTAAGGTAAAGCTTAGCTAAAGCTAAGGTAACAGTAAGCTAAAACTAAGCTAAAGCTAAGATATAGCTAAGCTAAGGCTAAGTTAAAACTAAGCTATAACTAAACTAAAGTTAAGCTAAAGCTAAGCTTTTGCTAAGCTAAAGCTAAAGCTAAAGCTAAAGCTAAAGCTAAAGCTAAAGCTCCCAGGGGACTGGGGGAACCGCGGGGCGGATCCTGGGGGAACCGCCCGGGGCGAGGCCCACTGCCCGGCCCCTTTAACATAGTGAGTAAGAACCCTTCTAGGCAGAGCCTAGGTAGGGAATCAAGTGCAACTCAGAAAGGTGTGACAGAGTGCACAAGGTGAGAAGAGAGACGAAGGGAAGTGGAAAAAGGAGAGGCTCCCAAGGGATCTTAGCAAAGTAAGCACACGCAAAGTGACCCCCACCCACGACCAACTCATCCACCCAAATCCCTTCCCGGAAATCCCTTCCCAGGTCAACGCCCTCACCGAGGGACAGTACGGCAGCTCCTGAAAAAGCCCTCACCCATGGATCTGTATAAATCTGTTGGCGGCGGTCCTTCCTGCCTTCTCCTCCTCCTCGAAGGATGCTGCTTCCTTGAGATGTAGCTGCGGATGGCCACACGAATACGCAACAGGATGGCAACGCAATGCATTTGTAACGCGGCATGACTTTCTGCACACGTGCTCAATGTACTGTCGCTCGCACCGCAAACCTACGGTGGGAATTGGGCAGGGGAGGAAACACGAGCCCCGCCATTCATTAGTCGGAGCGGCTGTGGTAACACACATACACACACGCACACGCACAACAAAGCACGACACTCCTCCTCCTCCTCCTCCTTCTCCTCCTCCTCCTTCTCCTCCTCCTCCTCTTTCTCCGTTTCCTCTGCCGCTGACGACGAACATGCATCGAAACCAGATGCGGACCCCATCGGCGTGGACCGCTCCGGTGCCTACCACGACGACGCCGAGACCGACTCTTGCTCAACACCCTCGGGCCTGCTTCGGTGCGTCGGCAGCTTGCCCCGCAGCGGCGCCCAGGGGCGTCTCGTGCGTCAGAAATGCGCTGCCTCGGAGGTGGCACCTCCACCGCCCGCGCACGTCGCCGACGACTGCAACGCCTGCTGCGACCTAGCGGTCGCGAATAGATCCGGCTGGGGTCCATGCGTACTGTTGTTCCCTTGGTGAGCATGTGCACCCCAACCACTCTGCTGACCTCTACCTGTTGCAGGAGTATCAGCTGGCCACCGAGCCAGCGCGGCAGGCTGAACAGTCAGGTCGCCAACACCGCGATCGAGGTGTCCTACATGCCGCCTGCCGCACTAGCTAGCACAACGCTGCCGACGGCCCAAAACACTCGGGTGGCACCGCCGTGGTCGTGAAGGCGGGTTCGACCGTGGCTGAACCAGGAGCCCTGGGCTCTGCCAGTGTCATGGCCAGTAGAATCTCCGCTGCTTTAGTTGGCGACCCAGAAAGTGGCGGCCTTCTTGACTTCTCGCTATATCCAACTACGCGCCGCAGTCCAGCAGCAACGGCAAGCTCGCATCTGACTTGTGAAATTCCTTGGCTAAGTTGGGCGCCGAGATTGCGGCCCGCAGACGGCCGACGATCGTGAGAGAAGACTTTAACTGGACGGTGAAATTGGGTGTTCGCCAGAGGGTGTTCTCAATGGTGCTGACTGGTCATTTCGTGGCTTATGTAGGGCCCACTCAATTGCATTCAATTGCTCCAGTATGGTTGGCATTCACTACTCGTGGGCATATTGAGGCAAGATGCGGCGATCGAGAGTTGTCCGTTGGCGGTGACGCATCGCCCAGCCATTGTCACCAGCACAGGCACAATATAACGCATGCTTTGCGGAACCCAGATGTGGATTCAAATGTTTAGAAAAACAGAATGTGAACTCACTGTTTGGAAAACCCAGTATGTGAATTTACAGGCTGGAAAAACGCAAGGTGTGAACTCGCAGGTTCTAGCCTTAGCATGTTGATTTGCAAACAGACGACGTGAACTCACATATTGGGAAAACGCGAAATGTGAATATAAATGTTGGAAACCCGCAAGTGTGGACCCACGAGTAATGGATACCATCCTGGGTCATTTGGATGCGCGATTCATAAGCCGTGAATGGATCATTCAGCACCCATTCAGAACAACCTGTGGCGGACATCCAAAATCCCCCTCCGATTTATCCTCCCAGCTGACCAATTCGAGCTACAGGCGTGGGCTTGGCTACAACATCTCGGCCCAGCCGTCGTCCATCCCACCCGGCCCACGTGCTATGCCCCGACCAACCCCGACGATGCCACCGCGCTCGACTACTATCTGGTCTCGCGGGGGCTGCTGCCAAGCTTCGTATCCTGCGACGTCATCGACGACGCTCCGTTCAAACCACGCCATGCTGTCTGACTCCAGTTGCTACAGCGAGGACATCCAGAGCCGCGGTGCCGCTTCCAGCGGCCGCCGGTCTTCCCCGCGGGGCCGTGGCTTCTTGGGCCGCAGTTCCCTTCATCCGTCGATTGATCCTTATCTTCTCCAGCGCACGGAGAACAATACCACGGACCACGACCTGGGGACTTGCTGTGCCGACGTCATGCGGCACGTCAAAGCTGAGCGAGCAGCCATGTACCAACTGGACCTCATCGACCATCTCGGGCACGGCGAGGAACCGCGCCTCTGCTGGCGAGCCACGCTACGACCGCGCTCCTCGGCCACCGACCGTCGACTCGACATCGTCGCCGACTACTGCGAGGGCAAGTTGCGCATGCCACCGCCCCGCGATGCACCGTCCCTCGGGCCGCACTGAGAAGTCCGCGTGCGACTCAAGAGCGAGTCCGCCGCACCGCTCGCCGCTGCAGGTCCTCCAGCCGCGCTGCGCGGCGCGGCGCGGCCATCGAGCGCGGCGCGACCATCGAACACGCAATCCGCGGGCTGCGCGCGAAGGGCAGAGCCGGGATCGATGCACAGGCCGGGCTCACCACGCGCCCAGCCCCTGCGGGCGGTTTGTGGCCCTTTGCACAGCTGGCTGCGTGCAGCCCGTGCTCGTACGGCTGCGCCGGATAAGGCACCGTGCGGCACGCACGCTGCGGACTTCGGCACCCAGCACCTCGTCGATGATGCAGGCAGACCGCCGTGTGGGAGCGCGGATCGGTGCCTGACCCTGCACAGCGTCACCCGCCACCGAGCTCCAACACCGACCTCAGGCACGTGGGGCCGCTCCTACATCGCAAGGTGTATCTGGATGGCAGTGAGACTTGTCCTGGTGACAGTGTCTTCGGCCGCGGGGGGCTGGGCAGCGCCAGCGATGGTCCACGACCCGCAATGGTCTTCTCCGGTGTGGTGCCGAGGCTTCTCCCGCGGGAGAGCGGAGGAGCCGCGGGGATCTTCACTGCGCGGGGTGCCACCTTGCACGCGGACGGCGGCCTGCCCTAGCTGCTCTCGGGCTCCCAAATGTCTGTCGATGGTGTCCAGGGTGGCCCCGAGAACGTCGACTTCCGGATACCATGCGCAAACACCTGGCGGACGTTCTGGCACGTAGTCTGCCAGCACGGCGACGCCAACATCACGGCCATCAAGATTCCGGAGCACGCTCTGTGGCGATGCGCCCTCGACGGTCGCATCGCGAGTGCCGACCACCTTGGGGACATGACGGCGGACCGCGCGGTCAAGGCCGCGGCGCTCCGACACTCGCAGCTACCGCGCCTCCGGGAGCAAGTGTACCTTGCGAGGCGCACCGCTGCCAACGTCGTCCACTGGGTGGTCAAAACGGTGAACATCGGGGAGGCGCTCTTACGCGCACCTGACGGTTGGGAAGCGCCGCCCCTGGAACGGATGATCTGTGCCTGCTCCGAGAGCGGGTGGCGGCCTTCTGGCCGACGTCTCCTTCGCACGGTGCACCTGCGACGCGGCCGTGTGAGACCGCCACGGGGCAGCTGTGCAGGCCGGCCCTGCGGTGCCGTGGGCATGTCCGGCCTGTGCCCCTGCGGCTGGTGCAGCCACACATCCAGGAGGACGCGCAGCACCGCGACTACGAGCCCCGGAAACCCGCCACGAGCTGCGGCGCCTCCGACGCGAGGCAGCAGCCGGCCGGCAGGGCGCGCTCGCGACCACTCGCGCTCTCCACTGCGGCAGCCTGTCAGGTGCCAGTGGAGCCTAGACGCCCAGCAACACCCGTTTCTCCTGACGGCGGCCGTGGTGGCCGCGACGGCCGCCTCGGCAGCGGCGGCGGACGCGAAGCCAGGCCAAGAGCAAGCACCGCGCGCACTGCGACGGGCGTACCCCGCTCCTCTGCAAAGCTCGAGGGCCAGCGCTCGCGGCCGCGCTGGCGCCCAAAGCTGCGACCCCGCCGCCGCCTCCGCGCCGCTGGGCGCCGACGGGCCCGCGGTGCGCAAAGCGTCCGTCTGCCGTGCCGTCGGCGCCCAGAGATCCGCGGCCTCGTACAGTCGGATTCGCTTGGACGGGACACGCGAGAGGACACAAGATCCTTCCGAGGGCCACATCGCCACAGGAATGTAGGAAGCATGGGTCGCGAGACACAGGACACAAGGGTACCCTTGATTTGGCAGGGTCGACCTACTAATCTGGGCCGACTGTATGGCTGTCCACGACGGCAGCATGCGGGCTGGTGGCGGCAAGTCGGAACCAGATGCTCCCGCCTCTGCCGTCGCCGTCCCGGGATCTGCGAGTGAAGAGAGCACGGCATCAATGAGTCCGGCTGCTTCCAGTACGATGGCCGAGCTCGCCGACGATCGCGGCTCGCACGATGGAGAGCTCCTTCGAAGTGATCGCAGTGAGACCCTCCCGCCCTGGTTGGATGTCCCATTAGATCCTTCGCACGTGCTTTACAAAGCATGTGCCCGAGCTTTCGGTTGCGGTGCGGCAAGCCTGGCGCATCTCAGCACATTCGGGGCCTCGCCGTGGGCAGGCTTTGCCAGCCGCTGCCCGACCATGTCCCGAAAGG